CGGACCCGGTCTCTGTATGACTGTATCACTAACGGGCCGGCCTTGTAAAAATCAGTTACATCATAGAATGGGTGAGGCAGAGATCGTGTGAGATGGAGACGGTTTGTGCCAGACACCGGGTGAAGAAGAGACCGTGTTGGACAGAGACTGATTAAGGCAGATACTGGGTGAGACAGGGAGCGAGCCTGGCTTTTACCGGGTTTGGCATAGATCGATTCTGGTATGGATCTGTAACGGAAAATTTTGAAAAAAATTCAAAATTTTCAAAAGATCAAAATCAGCTGGAAATTGTATAAAAAGCGCAAAAAACCAAAAATATTTTAAATATTTGATAATTTTTTTAAAGTTAAAATTTTTGTCTCTAGTTCTCATTTCTTGAGCAGTCAGTTTTATCACCATCAAGCATGTTTTAATCCGGTGAAGCAGAAGTGTACTTGAGAAAGTACAGGATAATGAATAAGCACTAGTAACAGTTCTTTTGCTAATCCACATTTGTGAGAAGACATTCAAAAACACTGTCGAGTATCAAAAAAGAATGACATTGTTGGCAAAAGATCAAAATTGCCTTCATTTAGGAACAAAAAGAAAATTGCAGTTTCCATTCATCTTCAACCTGTGATGACTTCTTAAATTCTGATGCATGATTTTTATGGACCACTAATCAAGATTTTCCTGTGAGTTTAAAATTATAAACAATAATTACAAATGTTTATACGCAGTAACAGTTGTAACTGCTCTGATATCTTTAAAATGTCTAGTTAAGTACTTGTAACTTCTGTGATTGCTTCTAAACTGAGACCGAAAAGCACTTTTCTTCCTTCTGGAGCAGCTGCTGCTGCTGCTTCTACTATTATTACTACTATTTCGCCCATCAATGTATATGAGCTCAGAGAATCACATCCATGTTTCACATGAAAAAGCAGAGAATGCACAACTAATCAGCCAATTATTAACATAAAGTTGTACTTACTGTGCTTTCCTAGAATTTTTTGCTGCTCAAAGTTTAAGCCAATAGAGTACTGTCATGTTCTTTTTTCTCTGTAACAAATTATCATAATTAGATGCACTACATCAAGTGTCATTATTTTACATGTATGATTAAAACAATTTATAAAGTAAACCAAGTAATTCGCTCATTGAATTGAGTCATCATTATAATTACAAAAGAACGCCAACTCGAATGGTGGCCTACTTCCCAATCTGAAAAAGTTACTATCAGTATGACTTTTATTTAATATATTTCTTACTGGCAATGTACAGAATGCCTAAAGTCAGTAGGCAAAGTATGAAATAAATTGTAATGTTAATATTGTTTGGTTGTGTAAATTAAAATTAATCAAAGTCAATAGGGTAAGCTGTCAAGATGGAGGTTGTGCAGGATAGTCGCAAAAACACCAAGCTACCGAAACTGAACATAACAAGTTTTGAGAATTAAAAGGAATTGTTTTATATTAAGTTTTTGAAAATATAAAAGATAAAATAAAACTATATAAATTGTATTATAGAAACTTCTGTTATATACTTTGCCTAAAAAATCTGAGGCATTCTATAGAATACCTAGGCAAAGTATAAAATAAACTATTAGCTTCATTTTTATTTATTTAGTGTTCTGTCTGACGACAGGTCCATATGAACAGGATCCTTCCATCCTTTTCTCGGACTGGGACCTGTTCATATACGTTCTTGGCAGATGATCCAGAAGTGGTTTGCCATTGCCTTCTTCTGTGTGTGAATGGAGTAATTGTTGGGATGCCACGGAGAAACTGGGGAAGCCCCCAGAGGAAAACTCTGTGTTGCCTAGACCACGGCCTTGCCCAACACAAGTTACATTGCCAAAATGTTCTAGGCATTTTATAAAATGCCTGAATTTCATATTTTGCCTACTCAATTTAGGCATTGTATACATTGCCTCGGTATTCTATATAATGCTGGAGTTCATAGTTTACTGGTAACATATTAGTTACAGATCCATCCCTCCCTCCTCTTTGTGGTCTTGGGGATTATGGTAATCTCCAGAGTGCCCACAATTCTGGGTTTTATTACTGCATCACCTCCCAACCAAAGTCTGGTTATAATCTGTAAAATGTATGTCATAAAATATTTAATGTGCTCATTAGTATATTGAAATTGTCTTAGTACTTAGGGCGTAATGTTTTTTGTTACTGAGTTCTTCTCTCAGTACCAAACACCAACTTTGTGTTGTGGAACACTGTGTGCTGGGTACTCTGTAGGATCACTGGCAGCAGGAGGGAAGCATTGACATGAAATAAACAATTCTGTGAATAGTTATTTATTTACAAACTGTTTTGTACAGTCTGAGGACAATAGAAATATTCTGTTCTGAAGTTGGAAGTTACAGGTTCCAGGCAACCACCTACAGAATTACTCTGTGACATAACCCAGAAGACCACAACCCAAATTTTTTAAATGGCAATATTTTCTTTTCTCAAAGAAAAATATCCAGCATGTAAGAGGCCTCAACATCAACTGCATTCTTGTAGGCTCAGCTAACCAACATCCTCTAACAAGAGACACCCTTTTCCCATCACTGAGAAGCTTGGAGAAAATTCAATATTGTTCTTACAGGAGTGTTGTACATCTGTATTTTGTCTTCAGGCAAAATTTGCTTCACCGGATTAAAATATGTTTGATGGCGATATAACTGACTGCACATGAAATGAAAACTAGAGAGAAAATAGTCACAAATTACAGCACAGAAACTAGAGTACAGGAAAAGAGAAATTTTTAAAAAAGCAGTGGAAACAGGTAGGAGATGTGCAAAGAATGGAATCAGCAATAATTAAAGCAGCTGGATAAAAGATGTAATAAAAGTAATGGAAGTGCATGACAAATAAATTAATTATAATTTCATGAATTTAAATATCTGATGCTCTTATAAACAGCTAGGGCAGATGACGAAGGATCTTCAGCAGAACTGACATTGGTCTGACATCACGGCAACCATAATATTCAGTTCCTACTTCACTATTACAAAGATCAGTTGGTTAATAACATTACAGGAACAAAATTCTTTTATGTAAATTGATTCTTAAAACTGTCTTGTTCACATGAAAATTTAAATGGCTCAATAATTTTTCATACCAACTATATGGCTTACGGACACCAAAGGTTCATCACCGAATTAACCAAATCCCTCCACTGACCCTGTCCTGGGTCAACAAAATCCAGTCTCCTTCAACTCCTATCTCCCATAGATCCCATCTGAGATTATCCTCCCATCTACGTCTAGGTCTCCCCAGTGGTCTCTTCCCCTTAGGCTTCTCGACCAATACCCGGTGCACTCCTCTCGCCCCATTTATGCGTGCCACATGCCCTGCCCATGTCATTATTCTTGACTTAATCACTGACAATATTGTAGGAGTACAAATTTTCAAGCTCATCATTATGGAGTTTTCTCACCTAGGTCCAAATATCCTCCTCAACACACTATTCTCAAACACCTGCAATCTGTGTTCCTCCCTCTCAGTGAGAGATCATGTTTCACACCCATACAAAACAACAACAAATTATTGTTTTGTATCATTTAATCTTGAAATCAAAAGGAAAGACAAAATATTTTGAACTGAGAAGTAGCAAGCATTTCCGGAATTTGGTCTCTTCCTAACTTCCTCATGAGTATCATTTAGATTTGTTATTGTTGTTCCCAAATATTTGAACTTTGTAACACTTTCAAAGGGTTTATTAGCTACCAAAAGATAATTCTACCCGCCTGTCTGCTGACGACAAGGTACTAACATGTACTTAGTTTTTTCTGAATTTACTTCTAGCCCCACCTGTCTACTAGCCTCTAGTAAAACTTCTGCGTTCCTCTTTATTGTATTCATATCGTCCCCCAATAAATTAACATCATCAGCATATGCCAATAGCTGATGTGTTCCATTCAATTGCAAACCCTCCTGCCTATCTTGGACTACCCTGATGGTGTATTCTAGTGCAAAGTTAAAGAGCAAGGGAGACAAAGCATCTCCTTGTTTTAGACCGTTCTTGATGGAAAATGAGTCACACAAATTTTCCTACAGGTTTCATTTAAGCACATATTAGACTCACTAGCTTCTTTGGTATAACAAATTCAATAAGAATATTGCACAGTACTTTTCTCTTCACAGAGTCATAGGCTTTTTTGAAATCTATAAACAATTGATGTACTGTACTCCCATTTTTTTATAGTATCTGACGAAAGCAAAAGATCTTATCAATTATTGATCTGTTACGTCTGAACCCACACTGATGATCCCCAATAATGTCATTCAAATATGGAGTTAATCTCGCCAGAAGATTGTTTCATAGAATTTTGTATGAGGTTGACAGTAGAGCAATTCCTCGGGAATTACCGCACTGTCGTCACCCTTCTTACGAATAAGAATAATTATCGATTCATTCCATTGTTGTGGAATCTCTTCCTTATCCCATTTTAACTGAAAAAGCTTATGGATCTTCATATGCAACTTTTTGCCACCTGTTTTAATTAATTCTGCTGGAATTTGATCAATAAGGCCTTTTTTTGTAACAATGCTGGTTTTTACAGTACAAGGTTATTAGCCTCACATCCAACCCCCAAGCTGGAGGACTACTCCTCATTGGCTGTCCGCAACTTCTTATTGAATATATTTGCATCAAACCTCCCACAACCTGGGAATGCACTGTGCCGTGGTGACAAGGACTCACCAAACATTTCATACTACTCCCCAATATTAAATTTCATAGGAATACAACATTGTTTAATTGATTCTTGGCTTATTAGATAATATTATGTGAACTTTAATGGTTAGTGTAAAATGTGAAAAGAATAAAAATTTGACTGGGGGGGGGGGGGGGGGGGGTGCTATATTAAGGTACTACTCAACATTTCCTTTATGCTTTAAGAGACTGAATAAACTCATAAAAGCTGAGAAATGAACTGGGACTTTAAGCAAATGCAATGTTTTGTAATGCAAAGGCACTTCATGCAGGGATAAGGGAGTAAATGAGTTCATACTGTATTGCATTAAAATAATAGGCATAATTCTTTCCATATTAAACAGCAGTATGGGTATGAACACACTAAAATATATCTTTCTGAAATTCACAAACATAAACTGTACTTTGTTTAACATTCATATCTAAAAATGTAGTTAGCGTTTCACTCTTTTTCTGAGAATTCTTTCTTCTTTGCTTGATGAAGGTTGCGGAGATTTCCTTGTAGTTTTTCTTCTTCTTCTAATAGGCATTTCTCTAACCTCAAAGTCACTCAAATTATCCTCAGAATTATGTTCAATGTCTGGATCATCAAGCTGTGAAATCAATCGTTTATGCATCCTTCTTGCGGCTAGTGTTTCATGTACCTCACACGCAGTATTTTGCAGATTACTTTCAAGTGTAGTCTCTGCAATAAAAATTATACAGTATTTATCTCTGCCAAGCTAGTTATGTAATTTATACAACTGACAATCCCATTCTTGGTACTGAGACAATGTATAATGTACACTGTATCCAAAGACATGTGATGAGAATTTTTAAACATTATTCAGATTATTCCATATCGGTGAATTTCTTGACAAAACTAAGCAAACAGTACAGTTGCAGTAACTGCCGCTGAATAATATATTTCTTTCTTAAGTAACTGGCTGAGCAATACTATGAGACAGTCGCACACTATTCGCTCAGACACGCTCCATCTGCCCTCCTCATCCTACAACTCCAGTTGGCCAATCACTCTCCATCCAGTCACAAATCTATCCATTCAATCCATCTCACATCCCAACAAAACCATCTACTCACACAACATTCCTCATTTCAGACCCTGATGATGGAGGCTAGATATTCTAAAGAAACATCAGCAACACAGACAACATCCACACAGTGCAAGCAACCATAAGCTGGACCAATATTAACAATAAATCATCATGAAAGCTTAAAATAAAGTTATGTTCCATAGTTCTATGCCAGTAGGTCAAAAATTCTCCAAGTTACACAAATATCTCTGTGCAACAATACATACCTTATTGAATATGAATGGATGATTTATTGTGAATTAGTGAGGACCAAGAAGGAAGATTTCATGACCTACTTTAAAATGCAATCTCATATCCTGCATTCAGAGAATGAGGAAAACAAGAAAATAAATATGAAAAGTACACAGAATTCCCACATATTCTTTATGCCACACATTGCTTAATATTATCTCCTTAAATATGTATAAGAATATCAATTAATACCGAAAGAAACCCCTCCCCCCATTTGCTATTATTCCTCTTTTCATATACTCACAAGCATGAAGATGGCTGTCCTCTGGGATGCCGCACCATGTATTCTGGTATGCACTGTCAGACATCATCATCAAGATTGATGGAGACAGCACACACCACTGACATGTCAGTGAGTATCTATCAGACTACATGGTGCAACATCCCAGGAAACAAAACACCTTCAGTGATTAATTATTGAGGTGGTTCAATAAACCACATGTTTAACAGAATAGACTTTCTTCTAACATTACCACATAACATAACAACTCAATTATGTGTTTTGGGCAGCCAAGGCACTGAAAGATTGCAGCACTGGTAACATCATCAATTTTATGATGGATGTGACATAAAATACTTTATATGACCACTGACATCATCAGTCATCATTGAGGATGACATAATGGTGTCATGACACACGTCCTCCCACTTCATGATTTTGATGAGTTTGGACTAGCCTCTAATGGCATGATGCCCATACCAAATTTCATGAAAATCCAATTAGCTATTCTTGGGTTAATACAAAATCTGGATTTGAGATTTTGACGGAGGTGAAAATCTGGTTTATGGTCTTCTGCAATGTGGTGCTGTGTAGCCCAGTAAGTGCTACCAACCGACTTTCCCCATCTTCAGCATAGAAATGAGTCAAGTAGGGAAACGGGTCAGTTATATAGCAGAGGTTGGCCAATGGGAATGGAGAAAAACAGTAAAAGCCCTGAAAACAGTAACTTCCGAGGAACACTGAGCTGAAACATGTACTTTGTCCTTGGTAAAAGTCTTCATTCCTCCAGGGCACAAATGACCTACTTAGGGAGAAATCATCTTTCCTGTTCACTTGCTGAGACAGAATTCAATGATCCAGTTCATGCATCCGACATGCATGATACTGACGTCATGTAATTGGACATTATGGCACTAGACATGCCAGTGGCGGTCTCAATGGAGCATCTGGTTTGTTGAAAGCATCATGTCCCACACCTACAGAGGATGTTGTAAATGATGTATATAAATTATTTTTACAATTTTACTTGGTAATAAAACCTTCATGAAAAGACATAAATACAGTGTTTGAGAGTCATCTGCAAGAGAAAGTCTGAATATTTCTTCAAGTTTCCAGTAGCTGGTAGTACCCGTTTTCCAATGCACTGTATCCTTATTGTGAATCGGGTCGGTTGTCATGAACCCACAGGAGAAGGCACAGTGCATGGAGAGGTTTATGAAAACAAAATCGAATACACAGGCCCGAAGACATTTCAGAACAATGTATTATAAAGAAGCCAATGTCAAGATCATCGATACATGCCTGGTACAAATAGTTTAGGGAGACTGGAAGTCTTTTGCAGAAGAAAGGTACATAGAATACACAGGAGTCTGACAAAAATGTTGAAAAGATATGCTGGATCTTTATTGACAGTCCATGTAAGTCCACACAAGCTGCAGCACACGAGTTGCAAATGCATACCCAATCCAACAGGATGTTGGGTGTTATGAAAATGTTTGTGCCTGTATGCTTACAAGATGCAAGTGGTGCAGACAATTAGACTCAATGATACGGTAGCCCATAAGGAATTTGCAATGCCCATGCTTGAGAAACTGGACAAAGACAATGAATTCCTGAGAAGATAATCATGTTCTCTGATGAGGCTACATTCCACAAAGTAAACAAACAGAACATGTGGTGTGGCCTGTTGCATGATCATTTGAACACACCTTTTTCTTTGCCAAAGTGGCTGTGACATCCAGCAGTTACCTAGATATGCTGGAAAACTTTGTGTATCCAGTTACAAGAACTGCAGTCCGCCCAGTCCTTCCAGCAAGACAGCACACCACACACCTGAGGTCCAGTGTGCATGTATCTCTTAAACAGCATTTCCTAAACCAATAGATTGGCCATGTTGGTCCCATCTCTTGTCCAACCAGATCACCAGATATCACATCCTGCAATGTTTTCCTAGGGGTTACTTCAAAGACTGTGTGCGCCAAACTCTGGTGGATGACTTCAATGATTTAAAGGACAGAATTGCAGCTGCTATTGCAACAGTTGACACTGACATGCTGCAGTGTACATGGACAAAGCTTGAACATCGTTTGGACACTGAACATGTGACAAATGGTTCCCATGTTGAATGCATATAACGTTGAGAACAAACTTTGAGATTTTCTCTCACAGATGATGCTCAGTGTGTCTGTGTCTTTTCATAAAGGTTTTATTCGGGAACAAAGTTATGAGATAATTTATAAACACCCAGTATATGACTTTAAAGTAATGCCATTCTTGATGGGCCAAAGGAAACTGGAGACTTAGTCGGATGACTACCATCTTGAAGTTGCGTTGGAGAGTGCTCTGCTAATGCCAATGAAGCCACCAGACTTGGATCCTCCCTACAAAATAATATCTTCAACACAACCAATGCATCGAGCTGCAGAACATCAGTATCCTGGCTAAAAAAAATTCAGATTTAAAGACCAAATCATCTGGGAAGTGACAGAGATTGCACTCCTTTCTAATGACTTTAACAAGGAGGATGGTTTCTCATTGAGAAGATCATGGAAGCCTCTCATTTGTGCCCTGAAAATTATGGCAGATGACCTCTAAACTACAAAGCACACTTCAACTTGGCTTTCCTGTGCCCATGTTATTTATAAGGGTCTTTCTTACTAAGAAAAACTATACAAATTCCCAGACAGGATATGTGGTAAAGGAGCTAATATTCAAACTTCAGAATGCAAGTCCTGAGCAGCTGCACCAGACTCAATTATTTGCTGATTTACTGATGGTTTCTAAAATTACATGAGCTCAGTCAGTATAGCGATTACCTACAGCCTGGACGACTGGGGTTCAATCCCCGATGTGGGCAGAGGATTTTTCCTCTAGCCTCTGCATCCAGACCGGCTCTGGGGTCCACCCAGCCTCCTATCCAATGGGTACTGGGGTCCTATCCCGGGGGTAAAGCGTGACCACTCACCCCCATCTAGTGCTGAGGTCAAGAATGAATAGGAGCTAACCTCTCCCCCCAAGCAACCTACATGGCATGTAGCAGGACTGCTTTAGTTTTACTTTTTTCTAAAACTACATATTATCTCACACACAAGTACTTAATCCCTTTCATATGACACATTTCTACAAGTTCTTTTTTATGGTGTCTCACATTCTTTGACCTATTGTTGAAGGATTAAGCAATTTAAATAGGGAGAAAAAGCTGAAACTTCAGACACATGACACTGAGCTGCACTACAAGTAAACTTATTACTGCTAAAATTATAAAAGCGATACATCGGTAATTTAAGATGCAACATGTCATAGACTGTCAGTGCTGCACGTAATTACGCAAGCTTCCCTCCTTTTCAACTCTCAGCCCAGATAAGCAATAATACCTATGCTGTAAGTAATTTACTACAAAACAGTGTTAATGAAATAGTAGCTGTGTGTCAGTCAATATTCATCATTCTGTCAGAATTTTGACAACATATTATAACTATACTCTATAACTGCCCTCCTAACTTTGCTCCTTCAGCAAGAGACAGTTATTTCCTGAACTAGTGTCAGTGGGGAACAAGGATCAGGGTTGATGTGGTAATTTGTTTATATAAATCCAAAAACAACAAAAAAGAACACAATATACTTTTACTCTTGAAATTTAGATCCTCTGATACACAATTCCCAAAACAGGGACAATGGTTACTGGATGTGAGTGTTTGGTTTAATGGCTGAAGGCCCGCTGTCAACTGCCTCCCCAGGTGTCCTGCAAGTGTTCTTGACCTACTTCCCAGATCTCTTCCTAGTTTGGGACCCTCCACACATGACTAGCTGGCCAGTTCAAATCTGAATTATAGTCGGTTGGGAAAAATGACGCCAAGGATATGTCCCTTATGCCCATTCATACCCAAACCAACGTGATGCCAAACAGTTACTGGGGCTTAAAAAAAAAATGGCATGCCTCAGCTTGACTTGGACTCTGGACTGGTATAATATATTACTGGTACTTTATTTTCACCTCTAAAATTGAATTTGTGCCTAAGACATTAATTTTCTACATGAAATATGTGAAACTGCAAGAAAATATTAAAAAATATACATTAATGGTGTCGTTAAATGGCATTTTGGCAAAAATATGAGGCCAGTGATGCAACTGACGATCTATAATATGCTGTCTGTGCCAGCCATTACATATGGCATTGAAACTTGGGGGTTAGGAGTACAGAAACAGCAAAGATAAGATTCCTTGGGTCAGTATTAGGAACTGCACTGAGGAACAAAGTGAGACATGAAGAAATATGAAAATGATTATAAACAGAAATTATAGTAAATGATATCAAAACAGTACCAATAAAAATGGCCAGACCATGTGGGAAAAATGTCCCCTGAGTTTTACATAGCAGGCAAAATTCTGTGTACCAATCGGAACACATAACACGGGTTAACCAAGGTCAAAAATAATTCCAGTAGCCTTTGAATGTGACTTCATACTCATCTTTGTTGTGGATGAAAAGGATGGAGATGGCCCGCTTGTATTTCACAAAATAGAAACAAAAGTCCAGCACTCAGTATATCTGGTGGAACAGTTCCATCCCCATTGCACAATTTGCTTTCGTGCATAGCAGACATGTTTCAAAAGTGAAAGGGTTAAAATTACATTTTTTACCTTGTGTGTGTTCTGCTAGAAGACTGAAGTTTTGGTTGTTACAAGAATCACTATTCTCTTCCCTCTCAATCTCCTTAGACTTTTGTACTGGAGAACCGCATTTCTGCACACCTGACCTGGAAAAACTCTTCTCAAACATATCCAGTGATAAATTCTGAGTTGATTCTCCTTTAGAATAATTCTCACTTTCATCTCCTGCACAAACAGTAGCTATATTTCTGCCCAGAACTGGAGACACAGCTTCTTCTGTATCAGTTTCATAATTCATATGAAATGCAGTCTCAATTATATTTTCATTACAGTTCACATTACCACCAACATTACTGATGTTTGCAGTGTCATCTGTCGGAGACATACTGACAGAAGGTTCACACAAGCCAATTCCATTCACTACCATAGCATGACCTGCTTCAGTAACAGTTCCACAGCTTTCCATAGGAGTTTTCTGATCAACTTCTTTTTGTGCACATGTTTCTTTATTGACGTCTACAGCAATTCCAATACGAGCATCTTTTCCATCATTTACAACCAAGTTTTGTTCAACTGCAGTTTTCTTTTCTGCTTCCCGTTTTTTAATGGACTGAATTAGATTTTCAAAACTGGCTTTATTTTGTTGCACTGAAAGCAAATGAAAGTTAATAAAGCTTAAAGATTTCTAACAACTGTCCTGTTTCATACAACATTTTTCATCTTCGCCAATTTCCAACAACTGCCTGAAATCATCTCGGGTGATCAGCCACGTAAAATGGTTAAAAGACGAAACCGACATTTCAGGGACCACCTCTGTCCCCATCATCTGGATCAGAACCTTGTTGATGGGGACAGTGGCAGCAACTGCCAACTATGTAAAAATGTAAAGAGTAAATATAGAAAACTATAATATTACTCTTTGTGTTATATGGATGTGAAATCTTATTTGTCATGTGAAAGGAAAAACACAGATTGAGGGTGAAGATAGCTGTCTTCTGGGTTGCAACACCATGTAGTCTGGTAGATGTTTACCAATGTTTCAGAGGTCCTTGCCCCCTCAATCATCCTGATGATGGAGGCAACAAGGACCTCTGAAATATTGGTAAACTTCTACCAGATTATATGGTGTTGCAACCCACAAGACAGCCATCTTCATGGTCACTGTCATGAGAACCTGAAAACAGAGTACTTTGGCAAATATTTGAATCCAGGATGGATGAAGTGGCAGAAGCACAGAGGAAACTACATAATTAGGACCGTCATAATTTCCACTCTTCACTAGATATTGTTAGCATGATGGATGGGGCATGTTGCACACATGGGGGAGATAAAAAATGCACACAGTTTTGGTTAACAATGCTGAAGGGAAGAGACCACACAGAAAACTTAGGTGTAGATGAGAATAATATTAAAATGGGCCAAGGAAACAGGTGACAAGGACGTGGATTGAAGTCATCTGGCTTAGAACAGGAACTGGTTGTGGGCTCCTGTGAACGGTAATAAATGTATGGGTTCCATAAGAGGCAAGGAATTTGACTGAGTATACTATCAGCTTCTCAAGGAAGATTCTGCTCCATGAAGTTAGTTAGTTAGTTAGATAGGTAGGTAGCTAGCCAATACACAATGTCCAACAGATGTGGTATAATTTAATTTAAAGTCTATATAATTTACTGTATGCAATTGCTATCTACCATACACCACTATACTGAGGAGAAACTGCTCTTAATTGTTGCTTAATATAAATGTCTCTTTGAATTCATCCCTGGTAAATAAAAAAATATCAAATGTGATCAGCTTACTTTCATTAGTTTTCATTATTATACATTACAGATAGCTGTTCTGTCAGATTTCAATACTGAAATGGTAAATTAAATTTTGTATCAATCGCCATAACACAGCAAACAGCATTTATGAAAATCCCAGCAAATGACAGCATATAAAACTATCATACTTACTGTAACGATGCTGAGCCTGCTGAATCAATTTAGGATCTGTCTTTCTGTCTATTTTCAACTTCTGAAAAAAAAGAAAATAAATAAACTGCAACAGCCTTTACACGACAGCACTAACCTGTGAACAGTAGACAGAGCTTGGATATGATGGCGAATAGAAATATTCAATCATT